GCTGTTGGGGCTGGTTAAAACGATGGTGTAACGGAAGAGGTTGACAAGGCGAATTACGGTTTCCACTGTTTCGGCCACCAGAGGCAGTTGACCCTGATGAGGCGCTCGCACCTGAGCGAAGTCCACTGTTACCGGCTCCAGATCCTGTCCCAACTGGCTCTACTCGCCAAAGAGCCCTGAGTCCACGGTTCCAGCCGACACGGCCTGCTTGGCGACGAAGAGAAGCTGGCCAATGGCGAGTACGTACAGTGGACGATGAACCGTCTGATCCTAGCGAGCACTGCATTGGTTTTCCAGAAGTGGACACTGAAGAAAGCGAAGTCGATGCAGAAGTGGAGGCTGAAGCAGGATTCAATGATGAGGAGGCATAACTCGAGGTAGCATGTGAGGAGTTAAAAAGACCATTTAAACCGGGTCTATGAGCAAAAAGTCGCCCGCGAAGTAGTCGCCCAACGCGACTAGTGCCTAATAAGCAGGAAGCGTTTCGAGACCGACTTTGATGAATTGGCTCATGCGAACTAGGTTCACTTGGACCGATAATATTCATACTTTGGTCAGTTGTAGCATCGCCAGTTAATCCAACCTGTCCAGGAGAAGTTTCATCAGGGAGAGTTTCACTTGTGAATGTTGGCCCCAATGTCTGTTGTTGGTCTGTAGCACTCTCATCCTCCTCCATTTCCTCGTGGATACTATCCACATCACTTATCACATCATGCACAGCATCTTCTAAAGTAGAATGGAACTCCCCACCATCTTCCTCCTCGTCTTCGGTAGCCTCTACATATTCTTCCATATCTTGTCCCTCTTCCTGCTCTTCCTCGTCTTCATTATCTTCTTCGTCTTCGTCATCTTCGTCATCTACTTCTTCGCTTTGCTCAGAAATTTCCCCACTGCCAGTTTCATCTGCTCTCCCGCTCATGCCAAAAAGCCTTGTCTCCGATATGCCAGCATACCTGAAGCAAAGACTGACTTCGGCTCGCCGGAGAATACGGCGGATAAGCCGTTGTTGAGCTCGCTGATCAGGCAAAGAGAGTTCGAGTATGTTGCCGTCGACTTTCTCCTGCAAATAAAGACGAGAAAAGGCGTCTTTTGGTCTCGGAATCAAAGCATGTTGCCCAATCCCCTTAAATGTATTCGCTACTGGAATACAAACAGCCTCGAGCCACTGTGTGATGAGGCAGACCCACTCAGCCAGGCTTATTAAAAGACTGCTTTCCGCAGTGAGGTAGGGGTGGCTGCAAGATGGTTCGACTGAGGACAAAGGGGGAGAGTGGACACCGGATGCATGAGAAGAGGCTGAGAGGA